TCACCCATTTCACAGATAAGTAGACTGAGCCTCAGGGAGCTAGTAAGGATCTGGCACGTAGTCAGTGCTCAGCAAAGAGTAGACACTAATATACTTATGAGATGGGGATGACCCTGCCCGCTATGGGAGCCAGCCAGTGCCTGCCCCCGTGACTCCTGCTTATCGGAACTGGGGGAAAGAGAATTCGAAATGGGGCCTGTGTGACTCCAAGTCCCCTGCTCCCTTGGGACGCAGATAGAGCAGCATCTGGGTCACTTGGGAGCTGGTAGAAATGCAGATGCCCAGGCACCACCCCAGACCTACTGGGTCAGAATTGGCACTTTGTTAAGAATAAGAATATGCCTGGAAGGAGGCAGTGCAGGGAGAGCTAGAGGAGGCCTCACCCCTGACACTAGGGGTGGAGGGAGTCGCCTCTCTCGTGCCAGCAGGAAGTGGTTGAGCCCCAGCTTAGGATGTCCCTGAGCCCTGACCCCCAGCAGGTTGCCGTCCACCTGGGGGGGGTCTCCCACTTGATCCTCAGAGCGACACATGGGCGCGTCACCCTCTGCTGAAGGCTGACTCAGGGCAGCAGGTCTCTTTGAGATTCTGCAGATAGGACCAGAGGAAGTGGTGAGCAGCTGGGCTTTCCCCGCATGAGTCAGGCAGGCTCGGGTGGGGGCGTGCGGAGCGGATGGGCGCTGCCAAGCAGTCATCACCCAGCATGTGGGCATCCACCGCATAGGGAGAGNGGCAGGCTCGGGTGGGGGCGTGCGGAGCGGATGGGCGCTGCCAAGCAGTCATCACCCAGCATGTGGGCATCCACCACATAGGGAGAGAGGCTGGCAGGGCCAGGCTGGCTGGCACAGCTAACAAGGCCAGGGTTTTTCTGTCTTACAGAGCATTCCTACCCCAGGGGACCTGCCTTCCCATTTTGTAAGACAAAAAGTAGAGGCCCGGGAGCTACTGGGGCGTCCCCAGACAGGACTGGGGAGGGACAGGTCTGTGAATGCTGAGACCAAAGGCTGGGGGCGGGGGATGATCCTTGGTCCATAAACGCCAGACCCTCCAGCTATCTGTCCTCCTGGGGACTCCCACGGGCAGAGGGGCCAGCAGCAAAGGCCTAGGATGGGAGTCAGAAGAGATAGAATTGGGGTCCCCTGTGCTCCCAAACGAACTGCTCCTACCATCGACTAAACAGCACAGCTGACAGTGAGGAGGGTCAGCTTGCTACTGGCCAGTTCCAAAGCCAAAATGGGCTGCCCGGGGAAGCAGTGGGCTTGCCATCCTTTGGCATTTAAGACACCAAGCAGAAAGCTGCACTTGGAATCGGACCACGCTCAGTATCCCCACCCCCAGCCTGGGGTTCTCTGCTACAGGGTCTGTGGGCATCAGAACATAGCATAGTAGTTAAAAGTGTGTTTTCCATCAGGCCTGGGTTCGGATTCCGGCTCTGTCCTTGTCAGCTGTGGCCTTGGCCAAGCCACTTCCTCCCTGAGCCTCAGTCTCCTCATCTGTGTGATGGGGATATTTATGCCAGCTTCAAAGAGTACTTGTGAGGGTCCGATTCAAAACTACATGCCTGCACAGCGCCTGGCATGTAGTCAGTGCCCAGCAAAGGACAAGGTTCTTATGAAACCGGATGGCGCTGCCGGCCTAGGAGCCAGCCACCCCCACCCCCCAGACTCCTGCTTATCAGAGCTGGGTGGAAGAGGAGTGCCCAGCTGGTGGGACCTGCTCTTCCCAGGGCAAAGTCTGCCTGGGTGGTGGCCGCTGTTCCACTTTCAAGGACGGATGGGAGGGGATTTTGCCACCAGCATCCGGGGCAGCAGCTGCCGAGCCCTCCCTTTTGAGAACTATTCAGGGGGAGGCGGGTAGGAATGTGGGCACCGAGCCAGGTACAGCCACCTCCCTCCCTCCTGTGCTGGAGAGAAGTGCTGAGCTCCCAGCCTTGAGCTTTGTCACCAGTCCCCGGACAGAAATGGCCCTCCCAGGAGGGACCTAAGCCAGGCTTTCAGCCCAGCCTCCCCTCGCCCTGCAAGTTTGAGAACCCGGGACCCTCCATGGGACCAGGACAAAGAGGGAGGCAGGCAGGCAGGACAGGTTTTGGAATCTTGTGGTCTACTGACTGTGACCCTGGGCTGGTTGCTGCCTGCCCTGGGCCCCAGTGTCCCCACATAATATGAAGGGGGTATGCCAGGGTACCCAGATGGCTCTCATGTGCCAACCCTTTCTCTGGATCCTCTGAGCCACCTGCAACCTCTGTTCCAGCCCAAGGAGAAGGCTGACGGGTGAGAGGCTCTCCCCAGCCAAGGGGGTGCCTGTTTCTTATTTTATTTTTTATTGATTTCAGAGAGGAAGGGAGAGAGAGATAGAAACATCAGTGATGAAAGAGAAACATCGATCAGCTGCCTCCTGCACGCCCCCTACTGGGGATTGAGCCCACAACCCAGGCACGTGCCCTGGTTCATGGGTCGAAGCTCAACCACTGAGCCATGCCAGCTGGGCCCTCTGGGACATCTTGACGCCCCCTGCCCCGGGCCCGTCTACGGCAGGCATGTCCACCCAGCCGTGCACTGTCAGCACTGGTGCCCAGGGGGAAAGCCGTTGGATTTTTTATTGTTGTTATTGTGACCGTACATGCAAAGTATTTAACACAGTATCTGGCACACAAAACGTTCCCAGTGGCCACTGTGATGAAATTACCTACTATGTGCTAGGCATTTTATATCTATAATCTCATTTAATCTTTAAACCTAAAGGTAGATATTCACAGTAATAATTTATTTTTATTATTATAGTGTGTGTTGATTAAGGTGCTTACCATGGGCCAGGATCTGTGCTAAGGATGGGTCTCTTTCAGTCCTTTCCTCAGTCCCGAGATGGGTCGTTGGGCATCCATCGCCAACGTGATGGATATGGAAAATTAATATGAGTGATATAAATGGGAAAATGGAGGGTTGTGGGGACAGGTGATTTGACCAGGGTCACCCAGCCAGCAGGTGGCAGATCTGAGATTGGGACCCAGGTCAGTCTCAGCAGCGTTGATGTGAGCACAAACCTCCAGGGTTGTCTTCAGGTTAAACCTGGTACCTCACCGACCCAGTGATCCGGAGCCCACGCACATCAGAGCCCAGGGCACGCGGCGGATGCCCATTCCCCTGGGGGTCTCATGGGAACAGCCTTCTCCAGTGTCACCTCCCCTTGGCTATCGATCCACTGGCACTGCGGCCAGCCCCTGCATTGCCCCCCTGGGGCTGGAGCCTGCCCGGGATGGAGCCCAGACCCAGTAATCGATCGGCCCCTGATGGATGCCGCCGCGGTTCAGGCCGCGGTTTAGGCTGCAGCCCAGCCGGGCCCGGAGCTGCCAGAGCCCAGGAAATCCAGAGCCCACGTCTCCGTTCAAATTCGGACACTATCTGCACTTCCTCCGAACCTGAGCCACCCTGGCTGCGGGAAGGACCCGGCCAGTCGAGCAGTAAATAAAGCTGGGCTCCGGAGAGGCCCCGGTGGTGGAGAGAGTGGAGCGTGGGAATGGTAGGGATGGGGCTCGAACCCCTGGCCTGCTGGTTATCGGGCCAGAGCCCTCACCTCTGTGACCTTTGTTCCCTCCTGTCACACGGGGACATACTGCTGAGCTCCCTGGATGGCTGAGTGCAGGGGTTGTGAAGAGAAAAATGCCTGGCACATAGTAGGCGCTTACTAAAGGTCACAGCATCTCGTTATAGTGGCAACAGCTGCTGTTTCTGGAGCCAGCTCTATGCCAGGCACTGTGCCAGGTGCTGGCCTGTGTGGACTCAGTCCTCGCAGTGGCCCTGTGAGTCACTGTTATGACAGGGTCACAGCCTTGGCTGGAGGCTCGGATAGCACGGGCTACTGGCACCCGGGCAGTCCGCTCCAGCCCTGACATGCCCTCCCTGACCTTCACTGGAGCCCAAGGTCAGAAAGCGGTAGGAGCTCTGTTTTCCTGAGGGGCGCCGAGGAGAGGAGGCCCTCGCCAGGCTGCTGCCCACAGGGCGGCTCCATACCTGTCACCAAGGGTCACACAGCTGCCGCCAGCCCCTTACCAACTGGCAGGCAGGCTCCCAAGGTGGAAGGCGGGGCCTCTGCCTTGCCCCCCACGGGGCCCTCCAGCTCTAAGCGGAGCCTGGACCGCGGAACCGTGGGCCTGCCTGAGCTCCCCGAGGCCCACAACCCTCTCCCACCCTCCCACATCTGCTTCCGGCCCAGCTACAGCCACTGCCCACAGGACCTCTGGCCCGTCCGTCCCACGGTGGGGAAGAAGCCTCGGGATCCTGGTCCCTGCAGGGTTCCCAGAGACCTGTCCCTCCTGTGCTGCGTCATTTCCAACCCCTGGCTCGCCTGCCTGTGAACCACTTACACCCCTCGCACAAGTGCTCCACTCGGCGCTCCACGCAGGCTTCTCTGCTCTGCTGGCGGCCCCAGGACACATGCAGGGGGCTGGCACAGCAAATGGGCAGGTTTGCTTCTTCCTGTATTGCTGTGTGGCCTTGGGCAGGTCACTGGACCTCTCTGAGCCTCTGTTATAAAACAAGGTAATTTTGAGGATTAAGTATAATGAGGATTATATAAAGTTCCTGGCACAAGGACAGATTTCAAGAAGTGGCCCCTATTAGAGGTCTATAGTCGCACAAAGCTCCTGTATAACTAGAGAAGGGGAGGGGCCTGGGGAGCCCCGAGGAGGGCAGAGGAGTGAGATGGGTGTGTAGGAACATCCAGTCTCCGGGACATGGGTTTCTGGGAGTCTGCGTCTCTGTCACACGGCTGTCAGCTGCCAGCTGGAGGCCTTGGGGACTGCACAGATTTCTTTGGGGTCAGGAGGCCCATGTTCTCAGCCCCGAGGCCGGCCTCCAGGACACAGGCAGGCAGGTGTCTGTTCAGCCTGATAGGAGGGTCTGGCTGGTCTGCGAACAGCATCCACATCTGCCCGGCTGTGCTGTGCGCTCCGGGCCCCTGGTAGCACCTCCCCCCCGGGGGGCGGGGTCAGGAGCCGGCTCCCACCAAGCTCTTACCAAGGGGGCCAGATGAGAGATTGTTTAGACTCCACTCCCCACCCCATCCTGTCTCTGCCAGGCCGTTGGGGGTAGAAAACAGCGACCTGAAACGTGCAGGGCAGAAACTGTTATCACCTAATCACCATTCCAGGCCTTCCCAGCCCCCACTGCTCACTGCAGGCTCCCAGCACAACTCGTTCCCTGCACACACCCCAGCTGCCTTCAGGAAAACCAGAAATGGCCCTCCCTCCTGTGACCTCTGGGCCTGCCCCATGTGGTACCCTCTGCCTCCCTCCTGGGCAGGGGCAGGGAGCAGGGGAGAGATGGGGCAGGATGTCCCTCGAGTGCCCCTGGAGGTGGTCAGTGAGTGTAGCCATCAGAGCCCACCCCTCCCATCCGTACCCCATGGCACTGTGCCTGTTCATGTCACATTCAGTGCAGAGGGGCTCTGGTCTCCCCTGCTTTGTACAGCAAGCTTGTCCAAAACGATACTATTGAACACTTAGGAGGCTACCGGGCCTTGTAGTGAGTTCCCCCATCATCAGAGGTAACCAAGCAGTCGTCGGGTCACGGATCAGGACTCCGCCTGGTCCGAGGCCCCTTCCAGCTGTCGTAGGATGACATGTTGGTGGGAGGTGTCCTCTGAGCCCTGGGATTCCAGCTTGTGGCTGTTCGGACTGGTCAGGATGTGCCCTCTCCTTGTGCCCACAGGTATGATGCGGGCCGGGATGGCTTCATTGACCTGATGGAGCTAAAGCTCATGATGGAGAAACTCGGAGCCCCCCAGACACACCTGGGCCTGAAAAACATGATCAAGGAGGTTGACGAGGACTTTGACAGCAAGCTCAGCTTCCGGGAGGTGACACTAATGCCCTGTGTCATTGGGTGGCATTGTCCTTGAAGCGGGGGGGGGGGTCCACCTTAAGTGAGGAGGAGGGACATGTGTCTTCCCGTAGTGAGCGTCACGGAGTGACTTCCGCACGCCTGCCCTGTGCGGGCTCTGGAGGTGCAGAAGTTCCTGTGCCCCACCCACGGGTCCCAGAGTGTAGCGCAGGCCAAGCCACCACGAACCGGCGCCAGGCTGGGGTTCAGGACGAGGGGGGCAGACGGGCTGTGGGTCCGAGAGCAGCTGAGCATGGGAGTAGCTCACACCCCAGATCCCTCTAGGTCCTCGCTGAGGCAGGATCCACAGGCCAGAGGGAACGGGCTCCCAGCCAGTGGCCGCACCGGGTTAAATGCCAGGGGTGGCCCCTGGAGGGCAGTCGGCTCCCGCCCAGGCCTTGCAGAGCTAGCGGGAAGCACCGGGTAACCGGCTGGAGTCAGGACACTGGCTCAAATCCTGCCATCAATTTGTGGTGCCGAGACTTGGTGCAGGTGTTTTTCTTGCCCCTGAACCTTCCTCACTCAGTGTAGAGGCCACAGTCGTGTCCCTTCAGGACTCAGTAAATGGGAGGTGGAGCGAATTAGTTTGGGGAACAATGGAGACAAAGTTAAGAGGTAAATTGAGGCCATGTCATCAAGACTGTTGAGGGGAGCTGAGTGTGGACCAAGCAGGCCTGCTGTAGGCCTGGATCCTGGGAGGGCAGGAGATGGGTCCCCTAGTCTCCCATTGTCCAGATAGGCAGACTGAGGCCCAGATTGGAGAGAGAGCCCAGACCTCCGGCTCCCAGTCTCTCGAACATACCTCCTTTTTCCCAGGGATGCTGGGCGGGGCCCCGGGGCCGCCAGGGACACTGGCCCCTTTCCTCTTGCCCTGACACCCCCGCTTTCCTCCCTGCTGCAGTTCCTCCTGATTTTCCGCAAGGCGGCGGCCGGGGAGCTGCAGGAGGACAGCGGGCTGCACGTGCTGGCCCGCCTCTCCGAGATCGACGTCTCCACCGAGGGCGTCAAGGGGGCCAAGAGCTTCTTTGAGGCCAAGGTGAGGATTGGAGGGATGTGCGGAGCCCAGGGTTGGGTGCCCTGACCCCGACTCGTGGCCGGGGTATAATAGGACCCTGGGTTAGCTCAAGGGTCAGCACCAGCCCTTCCTGCTCCTGCTGAGGCTCCAGACAGGAGCTGGGGAGCTGACACCCAGGCTGAGCTGGGCAAGGTCCACAGAACTGCCTGCTGTCCCCTCCCATCCAGGCTGTGATCCTTTCCTGCTGCCCCTGGGGTGGGTGAGGGGTGTGTACTCTTGAAGAGGAGACAGGGACCACTTGGAGCTGCCCCTGGCCACTAACAAAGGATGGGCCTTAAAGGGCAGGCCTGGGGACAGCGGAGCAGGCCTAGAAACACACCCCGGCTCCTGGGGCCCTTCCAGCCCCAGCCTGGAGGAAGCATGACACACCCCACAGGCCACCCACATGCATAGCACCCTCCCCTCCCAGGACACGCGCAGGTGGAGGGAACAAGTGGGGTTCCTGGGTGCTGCCCTCCTAGGGACACCCACCTTCCCTTGTGTCTCCCTCTTCCCATGTTAGCCAAGAATATTCTTTCCCAAGGCTGCCTCCCGCCTCCTTCTGGGCTTGTAGGGTTGAGGGGGTGTTTCAGGGTCCATTGGTGGGACCAGTGTGCCACTAGGCTCCCACGTATAGGGTCCCCCAAACCCACGAGGTCAGAGTTAGTGAGCATCGGGCTCTAAATGGAGAGTCTTGCCCGGCACAGGGCCCGAGCTAGTGAGGGGGAGCTGTGTGGACATTGCTGGGACCCCATGGGGAGGGGAGGCACGGAGCCCCCTCCGCCCTGAGCCGCCCGCTCCCATCCACCGCAGGTCCAGGCCATCAACGTGTCGAGCCGCTTCGAGGAGGAGATCAAGGCGGAGCAGGAGGAGAGAAAGAAGCAGGCCGAGGAGATGAAGCAGCGGAAGGCGGCCTTCAAGGAGCTGCAGTCCACCTTCAAGTAGCCCCGGGCCCGGCCCAGAGCCCCGTCGGGGCGGCCGGGTGGGCGGGCACGGGGGAGGCCGAGCCGCGGCCTCGGCTCTGGCCCACGGGACCATACTAACCCTACAAATGTCTGTGAACGCAGCCAGCCCAGGGGTCTCCCAGAGGTGGCCCGGCCTCTCCCGCGCTCTGCCACTCTTCCTGAGGCCCTGACCCAGCACTGGCTCCCCGCCTCTCGCACCCCGGGCGGTCCCCTGCCTGCTCCAGCGCTGCTCTCTGCCCGTGAGCCTGCCCTCCACACACACTCCCCGCCCCCCAGTGCCTCTCCCTGTCACCTTCCCCGCCCAGAGGCCACCTGCCGTTAAGCAGCAGGCTGCACTGCCCCTTCCTAGACTGGGGAGCCACAGATGGCTCCGTAGAGTGGGACCTAAGGGGCTCCACCCCCTGCACCTGTTCCCCCAGCCCTGCCTCCTCCCTGCTGAAGTGGGGGGGAGGCTTCTATTTTGGGGAGGGGGCCCAGCCAGGCAGGGTGAGGGGACAGCTGTGTCAATCTACCTCACAGGCCCACACTCTCCCAGCCATGGCAGGGAGGAAACACCACTCCCTGGTCCCCCAGGGGCGACCCGAGGGTCCCAGGGGCCCTGGAGGGAGCGGGTGGGAAGGAGGATTGGCCCCTCCCAGGGACGGAAACCAGTGGTCTCCATTTTCCAGGAGGCGTCCAAGAAGTGCTTTAGCAGCAGGTTTGCACGGACCGGGCCGTGGGGGGCAGGGGACCTCACACCATCCTTCCCCAGAGTGACATCCCCCACCTAGTCACCAGCGGCCGGGGATCCGGTCACACCCACCCCCTGAGGCAGCATGGGGACCCCAGCCCTCCCCGTGCCACCAGCCCCGTCCCGCGTGGCTCCCGTGTTTGCTCCTGTGTGTGCGTGTCTGTGTGTGTCTGTTGCTGTGTCGTGAACCTGTGCCCGTCACCCGGTCCAAATAAGCGAAGGCCATCGAGGCCACAGTTATGCAACTCTCGGTGTGTGTCATCAAGACAGTGTCCCTGCTTTCCGAACTCGATGACTTTATTTTAGTAAAATGCCCCAAACTCCCGTCGGACCTGCAGAGGTTTTATTTTTTTGGCTGTAGAATATACAGAAAGGAGGTACTGGCCCTGGTTTGCCTTAGCAATGTGTTTATACAGATGAATATAAAAATTTCTTTTCCTTTGGGCTTATGGCTTTTTTTTTTCCCCTCTCCCTTCTCACTCCCCCCCCCAAAAAAAGCTACTTCATTCGGTGGTACAATTATTTTTTTTAACTAAAATAAGATAAAAATTCTATATTCTTATGTGCGTGTGGTTCTTGTTGGTTGGTGAGGAGGGAGGGATGGGATGAGGCCACCGGGGTGCCAGGGCAGCATTTGCTCAGGTGGCTCCCGGGTCATCAGAGCCAAGGAGGAGGGACGCCTCCCAGTGGGCGAGGTGGAGTTTGATGTCCACCTGCTACCACCAGGCGCCAGTCTAAGCACTTTATATATATTAACTCACTCGGTCCTCACAACCAGCCCGGGGTGGGGATGCTGTTTCTCTCCCGGATAACGGGGCGACCCAGGGAGTCTCCCGGAGGCCGGCGGGCCCGCAGGGTGCAGGCAGGGCCGCTGAGCCCCGGCCCGTGCCCGTAGCCAGTTCAGAGGGGGCATGCGCGTCCGTGGTGCACAGCACGGTGCCTGGAGGTGGTACCAAAGCCGTGGGGGTTCTAGATTGATGTACCCCAGAGCCCCCCACCATGCTTAGGGATACCCCAAGCCTCCCCCACCACGTACACAGGCCAAGGTGGTGGGGTGACGAGGGAAGAGACCCCCTGTGTGGTTTTAGACAGACCACTGTCACACTGGCTCAGTCTTCCGTCTGTTCGATGCCAGGGTGGGCTAGGGTCCCAGGGCCTTCCCAGCCCTGTGGTGTCCGGGTAGGGCACACCCCTCTCCCAGTGCCACCTGGGAGCCGGGGACTTGGGGCTTAGGCCAAGCGTTACTGCCCCCGGGTGGGCGTGGGCGGCACTACAGAAGCCCATGTGCCCTTGGCGGGGGCTGAGGTCCCTCCCAGCTGTGATAGAGGGAGGTCTTGGCCTGGAGGCGGCTGCTCCCTCCAAGTGTATTTCCTGGGGAAAGCCACCCCCCCACGCCATCTGATGCCCGAGATGCCACATCATTTACACTCTATGTTAGTTTAAGCATTGTCTTTATTTTTAAAAAGAAATATGTTTTTATTTATTTCAGAGAGAGGAAGGGAGAGGGAGAGAAACATCAATGATGGGAGAGAGTCATTGATCGGCTGCCTCCTGCACGCCCCCTACTGGGGATCGAGCCCGCAACCCGGGCAGGTGCCCTGACTGGGAGTGGAGTCGTGATCTCCAGGTCCATGGGTCAACGCTCGACCACTGAGCCACACTGGCCGGGTAAGTGTGGCCACATTGCCTTTCAGTGGCCTTCCCTAATCCCTAACATCCTAGGGGAAGGGTCTCAGAACCGAGGCCAGAGGATACCGCCAGGGAAGGGCTAAAATTCAGCTCCACACACCCCACCAAGCTGGCCCGGAGGTGGATGTGGGCCTCAGGCCCTGGGAACTGAGAGGCAAGGGCGGCTGTCCCACGTTAGGGCCGTTCACCAACAGGTCTCAGCAGGGAGGGCTCTCAGTCTGGACTTGCACAAGCCCCCCCCCGACTCCCAGCCCAGGCTGAGGAATGAAGAGGCCCGAAGTGATTCAGGGACCGAGAGGGAGAGGCAGACAGCTCCTTAAAACCCTCCCCCGGTCCCATCTTCTCAGTAAGCCTTTCCCCACTAGTCCTGGCCCCCAAACCCCTCGCTCAGCCCCCAAACCCTCTCTGACACCCCAGTACTTCCATCTGGTTTAAGGAGAAACCCTACCAGCCCCAAGGCCAGCCCCTTAGTGGACCTCACCTGAGATTAACAGCTGCCACCTGGGAGTTCTGTCCCAGCAGCCAGGAGATACGGGGCCCGTCAGTGGCACCTGCTGTTTTTCAGACTCTCACCGCTGCCCACCCCCAACCTTGGCATTGCTTCTCCTGAGGTTTCCCCTCCTGAGCCCAGCCTCCAACCTCGTCATCATGGTTATTTTTCCATCACACTCTGACCCTCAGTGACTGGGGGACATTGAGGTCCCAGATCCTTGGAGGCCCCACTCCAGCCCTGGAAACACAAGGTTCAGCAGGATGGGGGTGGGAGTCTAGCATCCGCACACTCTCAGGTCCTCAAGTTCATTCTGGAATCTGTCGAGAAGGAACCCTTTCCAACCCGCCGCACCCTGCCAAGCTCCCATCCAGAACTAACCTCTCGTTGAGGGACCCTCCAAGGAACACTTATCGCCCTGCCCAGCGGGGAGCTCCAGCCATGCTCTGAACAGGGTCTTAGTATCTGTGGTCCCTGCCCTAGCACAGGGCCTACACACAGGAGGTGCTCAGCGAATGTGGGGAGAAAATGAATGAATGAATGAATGAATGAATGAATGAATGGCTTTTGTGTACATGGAACATCAATCAGTGCCTCACCGTCTGGACACACAAGAGCAGAATCCAACCCAGCAGGCCGAGGTCGTGCCTTGGGGACAAATGGATTAAACCAGCCCCTCTAAGGGACAGACTGACTCTAAACTGCTGGGGCTCCGGATAGAACCTCTGGGCACATGGTGCTTCAACCCACACCACGGGCCATAAACCCAGGTCTGCCACTCAGCCTTGGCGTTCAGGTCATGGACCTTTAGGACCAAAAAGAGCCTCAGAGTGTGCCTGGTCCTAATCGTCCATTTTAGAGATGGGGAGACTGAGGGCCTTGCAGGGAGACAACCAAGCTGGCTCCAGGTAGGAATTTGGCCAGGGGCTGCCCAAGCCTCAGCACCCAGTCGCTGCCCAGGGAGGAAGTGCTGGAGGGCAGGGGTGTCCCAGACCCAGACAATGCTAGTTGATGAGGGAGAAAGAATGAGAGAACAGGAAGAGTGAGGTGAGGCTATGAGGACACTAGGAACGGGTATAGTGCCGTTTGCAGCCCTGAGCACACACTCCAAACAGAGTGGTGGAGGGCCCCCCAAAACCTGCACACCTCAGAATTTGCTCTGTGTCAGGTTATTTGGGGAAACCCATGCCTCGAGCCAGCCCTATCTCCTGCCCAAATTAAACAGTAACCACCCAAGGTCAGGGAAAGGGCCTTGTAGGAACAGGTTTCTTTCCAAGGGGCTCAGCCTTGACAGGTGGGCCCACCCCGCTCCTGCCTATAAATGTGCCCTTCCCGCCTCGACAGCCACTCGGTCCGAGGGTACTGAGCACGCACAACATGCTGGGCTTCACCGTCCTCGCCGCGCTCCTGGCCTGCGGTAAGCTGGGGAGGGGACCAGCCGCAGCCCGAGGGCCGTGAGCTCGGGCCGGCCTCCCGGGAACAAGGGTGGGAGCAGGGGGATCCCAGGGGTCCAGGAAAGGAGTTTTGGGGTCCAATGTGGGTTTGGATACTGCTGACCAGCTGTGCGTCAGATGAGCCACTCACCCCCTTGGCAACTTCACTTCCCTTTTTGCAAAACAGAAGTGAGGATCTGGCCTCACAAGGGGAGGATCAGAGATGAGGTGTGGCGAGCATGGGGCCCATCCCCGTCCTGGGTCACCCCAGGGACCGTCCAGGCTTGCCCTTCCCACTGTCAGCATCTCTCCCTCGGGGATCCTTGGCTGCCCCATGTTGGTGGCCGTCTCTCAGATTAGAAATCAACAAACTGGGCTTGAATATCACTCACTCTCAGCAGGACCTGGACAAGCCACTTCACCTCTCTCAGCCTCACTGGCTCCACTGGCAAACGAGAGCGTTTGGTGGCTCAGTTGGTTGAGTGTAATCCTGTGCACCGAAAGGTCACTGGTTGGATTCCCGGTCAGGGCCCATGCCTGGGTTGCAGGCCTGATCCCCAGTAGGGGGCGTGCAGGAGGCAGCCGATCAATGTTTCACTCCCTCCCCCTTCCTCTTTCTCTAAAAATCAATTTTTTAAAAATCTTTTAAAAAATTATTTGTAAGAGACCTTCTAGCTAACAACCACAGCAGTGATAATAACAGCAGCTCCCTGTTTCCTGCGTGTTTCGTATGGGCCAGGCACTGCGCTAAGGCCTTACGTGCAGGAACCGACTTGGTCCGCACAACGACCTTGCGAGGCAGGTCTCTTAATACCTCCCCTTTGCAGATGGGACACTGAGGCTCAGTGAGGCTCCATGTCTCGCCCGAGGTCACGTGGGCGGTCGGTGGTAGAGCCAGAATTTGAGTCTGGGTCTGTCTCACTGTGGAGCACGTGCTCTTGACCACTCCACAGGGCTCCCAGCTGTGCCCGTCTGGAACTCTATGGGCTCAGTGCTCACACACACACACTCCACTCTGCTGTGGCCTAAAAAGGGACAGCAGAGTAAGGATGAAGGACGCAGGTGTCCCCGGGCACTCACACACGTGCCAGCCACCTTTTACTCCCTCTGTGCGGGGCCTTTCACCGAACCCACTGTCTAATTTAGTTCTCGGGGCAAACACCAGGTTGGTGCTATTTTTTCCATTTCACAGAAAGGGAAGCTGAGGCCCAGAGAACTAGATAGCTCCCCCAAAGTCACGCGGTAAAATCTGAACCCGTGCCTGCCCAGCCCCAAAGTTCCGCCTGCCCCTCCCCCAGTGGGGTGCCAGCCCCCCTCACCTGTGTTCTCCCTCTCTTGTCTCCCCCAGCCTCCAGCTGTGGGGTCCCCACCTTCCTGCCCAACCTGGTCACCCGGGTGGTGGGAGGAGACAACGCCAGGCCCCACAGCTGGCCCTGGCAGGTAAGTACCGCTGCAGGGGCGGGAGGTGGGCGGAGAGGGCGGTGGGATGAGGGTCCCCGTGGGCTGACACGTGGCCCGTGCTCCAGATCTCCCTCCAGTACCTCAAGGATGACACGTGGAGGCACACCTGCGGTGGCACCCTGATCGCCAGCAACTTCGTCCTCACGGCCGCCCACTGCATCAGGTGAGGGGGGAGGAGGCCCGGGCGGAGCCTGGGAAGTTGCTTCTGTTGAGCACCTGCCACGACTCAGTTCACTGGGCCAAATAAGCGACTTATCTGCAGTCCTGCGTCTTCGTTTCCCCATTCGGCAGTGTTTATTGTGCACCTACTATGTGCCAGGGAACTCAGCGGTCAGGACAGCCTGTGCTCTCGGCGAGCTTATGTTCTAGTGG